GAGAGAGAGAGAGAGAGAGAGAGAGAGAGAGAGAGAGAGAGAGATGGAGGGAAAGATATAGACTTTGCCAAGATGCAATTCATTCAGCAGCTGTTCAGCTATTTGCTTCACTTAGAATCAAGGTGCACCAAAACACTTAAAAACACACACTTCAAACTATTTTACTCACTCTGCAACTACGGAAGAGAAAAAAAATGACAAAGGGCAGCTTAAACCAGTAAGCACCCACTGCAGCAGAGTCCTTTTTTTTGGACATCAGCTGGAGAGGAGAAATGATCTCATCAGAATCCAGTCAAATCACATATTTGGGAGAGCTGAGATCCCCAAGGGGATGCCTTCAAATGACGTGTATATATACCCACATACACACCTCAGAATGATCAGCACCAAGGAGCAGCTGGGCTTTGCATTTGTACAAATCATGCATAATCCCACTTTGGCATATATGACTCTGCATCATTTACTTCAATTTTGCTAGTCTTGGAAAGACAGAAGTGAGTCTCCCCACAGAGACACAAAAGCTTTGAAAATGTTCTTCAGCCATCTAGGTGGTCTCCAAGATTTCAGGAGATGTGCCTGGTGCCCTTCAACCAGCAACCAGTATTGAGATGTCAAGGTAACCAAAATTTGCAAAAAGAGTACCAATCTCTTTTAGAATCTCTCTAAATACCTAAGCATCTACAAAAAGGCCTCTGACCCACCTTTGGACATTAACTTTTAGGCCTGGAAAAACTGTTAATGACTACACAAGTACAATCTTCTCCCCACTCCGGGCATCTTCGAGAATCATCGGAACTGCTTCTTATTTTGGTAATCCAGAACAAAAATCTCGATTTGATCAGCCCCCTGTGTGATGATGGACAACACTGAATCGAATTTACACTGGCCATGGCAGAGATGCTGATGCCCTCTAGAAGAGGGGCAAAATACCATCACCAAATTGTGGTTGTGAGGCTGAAAAAAAAACTATCCAACACCCATAGTGACAGTTTCATAATAGAGCCTATAAATGAGATTTCACTAATTTCCTGATGGCGACAAATGAAGTAAAACATTAAATTTGTAACCTGTAATTTTCTCGTTAAGATTTCAGATTTTGTACTCTCTCTTTTATATTTTACCACGTATTCTTTTTTACAGAAATCTGATGTGAATGTGCAATGCAATAAATAAAATAAATCATAGGCTGGTATTTAAATAGGCCTTGAGATTAACCTTCCATTGCCTTCCCGAAGACCTTCTGATATGATGCTCCTAAATCCTTCCCTTAAAGTTTGCCATCGTACAGGAGCTAAGAAACCTGCTTTTTCGTGACAGTCCCTGCCCTATGGAATACTCTTGCCCTTGTTGACTGGCAGGGCTCTGCACTCCTAGCTTTCCGAAAAGCAGTGAAGACTCAGCATAGCATTAGGGCGAGAGGGTGTAATATGGTATTATGTTGTTTAACCTCTGATATGGCTCTAATTGTACATGGCGAACTCAGAGTGACTATATCAATGTTTTAAATAAATAAATAAATAATAAAAATGTTATGGATAATAAAGTAGCCTGTGTTAAAATATTACAATACTATTTAAACAAGCCTAAATCTTATCAACTATGCCAAACATAGATGGAAGGTCATGCAAACAGATATATAACGAAATTGATAACATCTAGTCTCTTTTCCAAAACACTCTTACTCTTGCCCCCTTGTTGAGTGGCATCACATTTTAATGGGCATTTTACTATGTCATCTTGTTCACATAAATCATAGTTACCTGGTGTATCTAACAGTGGAAGAGGAATGAAAGGGTCAGCAACAACCAGAAGTGGAGGGCTGGTATCCAGAATATCTTTTGTTTTTTCAACTGGAACGAAGGAAAGAATGGAAGAAGGGAAGGGAAGGGAAGGGAAGGGAAAGGAAAGGAAAGGGAAGGAAAGGAAAGGAAAGGAAAGGAAGGAAAGAAAATGGAGTCAAGCAAAGTAGAAGACAGCAAAGAAAAACTGGATTTGTTCAATGCCTTTCTAATATGCTTTTCCCCTGAATATCTGAAGCTATAATTTCCACCTTTATCACAGAGACAAACAAAGTAACTCAGTTCGCATCTCTACATTTTGCATCATCTAGGATTAATACAGATGTCACTAGATATTTGTCTATAGCATTTCTTTTTAAGATGTCTGGATTTTCTAGGTACACCAATGAAGCCCTGGGTTGGCCCACACAGCCAAAGAAAGCTGAACCACACAGGTGGAGAATGAGGGGGCAAATGCACCTAGTATCCATGCAAAACTAAACGTTTCCTACATTGCCCCAAATAACTTCATCAAAGTGTATAATCTCAACACATCCAACACACACAAAGGAAGCAAAGGAGGAGCTGAAAGAGGCTGAGAGCACAGAGGATGCCCCACAGATGACACCCTGACCAGTCACAATAACCTTTCCTTTTTGATTGACAGCAGGATAACAAGTGCACTGGACTCAGAAGGAAGCTAGGAAGACATGGAAGAGGCACCCTTAAAATAACCAGCATCCCAGCAGTTTAGTTTTTAAAATCCAGAGTTCTGAGTGATATAGAAGCAAAATGACACTCGGGGCTGAATCTATCCATTCAATCTCTCCAAAATCAGCTGCTACCTCCTGTGCCAACTCAAACCGGGGCACCTAACTTTGACCAGTTTTAAGATTTGTGGACTTCAGGAATTCCGGGAGTTGAAGTCCACAACTCTTAAAAGTTGCCAAGGTTGGACAACCCTAGAGCTAATGTTTCCAAAATGTTTCCCTAGTAGCCACCATTGGAGCACTTGATGGCTGTCATGTTGCAGAATGTATGGCTAACCATATCTCACAATTCGTCTCTGGGGATTTGAAAGTTGGCCCACAGTTCACCTTTAATTTGTAACATTACATCTTGCAGTGGAGAACATTACATCACGTTTTACTTTTCTTGGTGTAGCTCAAGACAGGGAAAACTTGTGCACCTCCTAATGCCGACAAAACAATCCTCCCTTTTATTCATCATGATTAACTAGGTTGGCTTAGGCTAGTGGGAGCTGTGTAGCAATATCTGTGTAGCAATATCTGGAGAGCCACAGATTCAATATCTTTGCTATAAACCCACTGTTCCCAAGTTGACTGTCAACTCATAAAGTGCATCTAGTTGGAGAATGTGATTTATGACACAGACTGAAGGGAGGGAAGAAACAGGGGCAAAGTTCAGCCATAATTTAAATGAGGTCAGATCTGACTACAATGATGCTCCAAATAAATGACTGGATCTCTTCTTTTGAAACTTGGCTCAAGGCTCATGAATTAATTAGAGCATCTTTGACATTGGCATCTGCAGTGATGGGGCTGAAGTTCACATGACGTTCGGCGAGCATGTTGAGATAGAGCCAATGAAAGCAAAGTCAAGTCAACAGGCCTTGAAGATCTAAGACAGCTTCCTTCTCCTGCCTTCTTCTTTCATCTCATGGCTACTCACACAATTCTTAAATGTGTTCAAGACATGATTCAGCCTGACAGATCAACCCGGGATGAGTCTCCAACCTTTCTGGCTGCCCCATAACCTACCTGATATGGGTGCAAGAGGAGAAGAGCCGAAGGCATCCAACTGCGCTGCGGAAGGTGCTGCCTGAAAACCTGGGATCAGGTTCTCCGTTGAACTGTCAAGCTTCTCAGGAGGTTTACCTGGAATTCAAAAGACCCGGTCATTCAATGTTACATGTGTTACTCACCACTTGGTTGGGGGATATAACTTCATGGAGATCAGGGAGGGGGAGAACAGGACAACCCGCAGGAATTCTGCGCGAGAGTTCCAGCGAGGAAAGGTGGAGCAAAGGAGAGAGGAAGAGCCAAGGAAGGGCAGTGTCAGGCCTGCAGTCATCTTTTCCTGTGTGTCTTTGGCCTGGCATACGTTCTATTATTTTCTATTGTGGGAAAATGGAAGTGGGGATTGTATGCAGTTAGATGCAATGTAGCCATAACAACATTCTTTCCAAAAAGCCAAGGTCATCCTTTGTCTCTGCATCTCTGCACCTGGCTGGAACTGGGTGGGTGGAATCTGTCTTCATGTCAGTGGGAGGTTGACCATGGGATGGACTTGTGGGTGTGGGGGCAAGTTCTTGAAGTTCTTGGGGAAAACTGGAAAGCTTTCAGATTCATATTTTCCCAGATGTGCCAACATGGCTCTCTTAATAAATTGGAACTTTGACTAACACTTTGCCTTGGACTCTGATTTAATCTTTCCTGCTATTTGGAACCCTGACAGGCAGTCAATGTTATAAGCTTCTGCCAATTTCTAATTGCTTGTATGCCAGGGGTGTCAAACTCAAGGCCCATGGACTGGATCCGGTCTGCAGGGTGCTTGGATCTGGCCCACCTGGGAAACTGCGAAGGACCGCCCCACGGTGCCTCTGCCAGTAAAAATGGCGCTCCAGTTTTGCTGGCTGAGGGTTGCATGAGGCTGTCACAGCCAAAAACAGAACTTGCGAGCCCATTTTCGCTGGCAGAGCGGTTGGACCCCACAGGGGCCAGCATGAGTGATATTGAGCTGGCCCTGGCCACCCTGGCCATACTTCCCCCCCCCCCAAAGAAAAACACAACCCTGAGGCGGCCCTCCATGAAACTGATTTTGACACCCCAGTTGTGTTCCATGGGAGGAGGACCTCCTGCTGAACCAGATGAAGAAGTTTTAGGGCATCCATAAGGAATAAAGGCTCATGTGCCTTTGCTCCTCCTTTATGTCTTATGGGAGGGGCCAGTCACCTCCAAGCCTTACTCCTGAGTNTCTGCCAACTCTCCATTCTTGATTTTATCACATCTTTTCTGTATTCTTGTTTCGTCTGTTGGGCCTTCAGTAGATTTTTGTTCTTTACTTCGATTCATAGTTAAATTGTTAATTTACTTCGATTATTATTATTAGTAGTAGTCGTAGTATTATTATTATTATCATCATCATCATCATCATCATCATTATCATTATCATTATATCATTCAGAAATTGAATGTAGTTGTCCTTGGAATTTGTAACTCTTTATTTCCTTTGACTGCTATCGTTGCTGAAAAATAATAAATATTAAAATTAATGGGTTCCAAAAATGTTTATTATTCTATAATAATACTACGAATAAAATCTCATTTAAAAACAAAAACTAACCTGAAGAAAATCAGGGAGCATGGTGGGGTGTTGTGTATCTTCTTTTTCAAAATAAATGTTTGTGATTATTATTCTCCAGTCTGAAAATCTGGTATGCCTAGAAACTAACTTTTTCTGGATATGCATCCAGCTATGTGGTTAGTAGCTAATGACACATTTAGAGCACACCCTTCCTAATAAACATTCAAGCCATGTCAACAAAATAACATAAATCATAACCTCAATTAGCCAATGCAAAAAATATTTGTGTAAATAAAAACATATTTGAAAAGAAAAGCACCATTTCTGCTGTTCGTCTGAAACAAGCATTTATCCCTTTAACATTTACAGACTGACAGAATAGGAAATGACTTGTTAATTAATGTGTTGTTGAATTGCATTCAAAAGTTTGGAATTTGTCTCTTTCTGAGAGCTTTCTGAGAGGACTGTTGTGAAAAAGTTGCTTAAGAATTCCTGGAAGGATATTTGTGTTCCTGACACTAAAGGTTGAATTGGTGAAATTTGTCAGTTCCCAGACTATGAACTGAGTTTGGAGCCACAGATCGTACATAACAATTCTGTTAATAATTTCTATAAATAGAATATCATTTTTTGATCTTTAGAAAAGTAATGAAATTCTGAAATGGTCATGGTATGTACATATAGTTTTTCCGTCTTCCTTTAATTAATGTTTTCTTTCACCACGTATTACACAATGAAAGAGTTCTCAGAGTTCTCTTTCGATAATCATAATATTAAACGACCCAAATTTTCTAAATTTTAAGTTCTGAATTTTATCACTTGCATTGTTTTAAAAAACTCAGCTAAAATAATCACTTTTAAAAATATGAAATAACATAGTATAAGTGCAGTAGCAACATCTGATAGTTGATAATTGGATGATTATCCAGAGTCTCTAGAACAGCGGTCTCAACCTGTGGGTCATGACCCCTTTGGGGGGTCAAACAACCCTTTCACAGGGGTCGCCTAAGACCATTGGAAAAAACATATTTTTGATGGTCTTAGGAACCGAGACAACTGTGTGCCAGTGTTTAGAGCCAGGGAAGTGGCAGTGGCGGGCACTGCCTTGCAAAAGGGTGGGGCTATTTGACAAGAGCGGCGGCCTGAGGACAACCGGTGCCCAGCCAATTGCGACACAAGAGGCACCGGTGGGCAGATCAGATGGCTGCGCTTCACGAGGGGAGGGGAGGGGGGAGAATGGAGCACCTGAGTGCCGGCGAGGCAGCACCCTGAGAGGTGGCCAGGCTTAGTTCGGTCTCCCAGCAGGGAGGGGAGGGGGTACCGGGAAGAAGGAGCTGAGAACCAAGGCAGGAAGGAGGCAATGATGTCCCTTCCACCTCCTCGGAGACTCGGAAGTTCACACGGGTGCTCTGCAGCAGCTGGCTCCCGACGTTCGGGTTTTCCCTTTTCTGTAAAAACTTCTGTCCATTCACAAGGAGACCTGCCTTCATTTCCTTCCCGCGATATCTATGAATGAATGAGTGGTTGGAAAACTTAGGAGCGAGAGGATTCCAGGAGTTTAGGAGTGGAGGGGGGAAAAGGTAGCCATCACAAAACATCTTCCACAGCCACTTTGAAAAAAAATAAAGCACTACATCTTTTTAGTTTTAAGTTTTAATCTTCCATGCTTAGAATAGAATGGAATGGAATAGGAAAATGGAATGGAATGGAATGAGAATGGGAATAGGAAAATGGAATGGGAATAGGAATAGGAATAGGATAGGATAGAATGAAATAGGAATAGAGTGAAATAGAAATGTTTATTGGTGAAGTGTGATAAGACACCCAAGGAATTTGTCTCCAGTGCACCAAATCACAGTGTACATATAAACAGCAAGTAATAGGTCATAGGTCATAATAATAGTTATAATCATTAGTTACAAACAACAATTGATAAATCATAAAGAACCAGTATGACAAGATGAAAAATAGGAGGGGATATTCAACCTAGTACTGAATTTCTCTTTAACCCATTTTTTTTTACTGTCTTTCTTCTCTGTTTTATTTTTGTTACCAACTGAAATGTTTCATGGACTTTTTGTAACAAGGTTAGAGGTTATATTATTATATTATATTATATTATATTATATTATATTATATTATAATATTATATTATATTATATTATATTATATTATATTATATTATATTATTATATTATATTATATTATATTATATTATATTATATTATAATATTATATTATATTATATTATATTATATTATATTATATTATATTATTATATTATTAACATTACATTACATTACATTATTACATTACATTATATTA